TGAGGAGACGAAGAGACAAAACATGGACAGCTCGCCTAGAGAGGCGTACATAATGCCATGCCATAAAACACCTAGCTGTGCCTTATATCTGCTTTGAAAATAGTCTAACTAGTCTTAATGCTATGAATTTATAGACAGCAACCATGCAGAGGGACCGGCATGTCATATAAAAGAATCTTGACAGTTTTCTTGGAGGAAGATTTTTCTCCTGTTTCTAGCTAGCGCCACTAACAGTCACACAAAGTCTACCCAGTTACACTGTGTTGCTGGTTGCATGTCTACAGTTTTGTGGACAAAACAGTTGCCTGACTCCTGCTGTACCACTAAGGTTCTGTTGCCAGTCTGTTGACTAACGGTACAGGCTAATGCGTTTTACATGTCCAACTCTCACTCCGACAGCCCCAGACAAGAGATTAACCGTTTGGAAATGTTCAGGTCTGTGTGGATACTCTTAATTAGCAGCTCAACAGGACATAGCGTCGGAGACTGGCGGATCGACCTTTTGGCCCCTTACGGAGTGTGTAAATACATCACGGGGCCTTGCCTAAGCACCTGAGCACGCACATAAGGGAAACTTTGCCCCTGAATAATGGAGCCTTTCACAAAGATCAAGTCCAGGCTGCTGTACACAAATAGTTGCCTAGCTCATATTCAAACACGGGACGCGAAAAGGGAGACATTATTGACACATTCTTTCTTTCGAGAGAGCGGTAAATAGTTTGTGGTCGGAACTTGATTTTTTCAGTAGTTTTGCAATTGGGACTCGATATAAATGAGGAATTAAGTGAGCGATACGAACAAACCAACTGTTTATATGTTCTTTTTTTCTGCGCGGATTCTATGACAGTTGCCACAAAAAGACAATAGTACGTTTACTTTCTTTCTGTCAAAATCACCTACACTAATGACACTACTGTTTACGCTCCACTACTACTTTGCAATGTTGTTTGCCAAAAACGCATGAGCCTGTAGCAAAAATTATTTCCCTACCAAGCCTATTATTACAGTTCTAGAATCGTCACAAGATCCTGTTGGATATGATGGGTACAAACACGGTCACCTTACTGCCTGACACGGGGGGCATCATCCGCCTGGGCGGGACAGGAATGTTCTCAATAGCCGCTCTCCTCGCGATGTCAGGCGGTCTTTCAGCGTGTCCCCTCGTCCGAAACCCTCCCCCGACTGACTTCACCTGATACACAGAGTTCCCCATGCTCGACTTGTCCTTGATAGCTTTGTTGAGATACTTGGATTTCTCTTTCTCCTTCTTCGCCTTCAGTTCGCTGTACGGTGGGCACTCTTTGAACGTCCATTTGGCCACACTGGTAACCCCGGTAGAACCGTTGATAACCCCAGGACTTACGGCGATGTCTTTATCCCTAACCTCCTTGTACAGAGCGGCGGTTTTATCCTCGTCCAAACCAAGGGCGATTTCCTCTCCAGTTATAAAGGACGGAGATCGAGTTCTTGGGATTGTGTGTACGTTCCCCAGTTCATCTGTGTAGCGGATACAGGAAAGTGCAGCGTTGTCGTCCTGGGTTCGCCTCAAAGCTGGCGTGATTTTTTCAAGGGGTTTGAGAGTTGACTCAGGCAAAGATTTACTCTTGACATCCGTGTTGTGGGGAGGGGGGTTGTCTCCCGGCGATGCTGACGTCTTTGTTTTGTTCGGGTTCGTTACGTGATGTATTGCCGGAGGTTTTCTAATCAGGGCAGCGAACGTTCTGACAGGCTTGTCCGGAGTTCCCTCGTCGTACCGGACAGCGACTTGTGCTGTTTCCATCGGCACGAAAGATCTCTCTGAGACGAGCCTCGGTTTCTTCTGCCCGGCTCTACTCCGCAGAGATTCTAACATCCTAACGTCCTGCTGCAGTTGCTTTTCCAGGTTCGGCAACCTGTGTTCCACGAGGTGTTTCGTGAGTCTTTCTGTGGGGTCTAAGTTTTGGGGCTGAGGTTTGGGTTTAGTTAGGATACGCCGAGATTTCTGTAACTCCACCTCCCTTTCTTCAGCCTTTGTTTCCGTCATATCCTCCGTGATATCCTTCACTTGTAACTTCAGCGTCCTTTTAGTCCTGCTCCCTTTCTCCATGGGAATTTTAAACCTCCTAATCTTGCCCTTTTTAGCGTACGCCTTCAAGTAATTCTTCTTGGCTTTTTGTTTCCCTGTCGGGCTGCTGGTTTTGTTGTCAGGGTTCTCTTCTGTTCTTGCCCGAGTCTTTTCCACACTGTTCTGATCGGATCCTTTCTTAGTGCCATTTGTGAGGACCTTAGAAGCCCTTCTGGGTGAAGGCTCTGCCTCAAAGTCGCTGCTTTCCGTCACCGAGATGTGGTCCAATTTGACACGGGGCTTCCTTTTCCTGATCCCGTATGGCAATGAGAAAGTGTTCGGTGGTACAGAACCCCATCCCGCGACAGAGTCCTTCCACGACGAAGTAAAAGTCCCCTTTTTTGGTGGCGTCTCATAGTTAAAATCTACCTCTTCACTGCAAGTGATCAGCGCGTTGGTAAGCAGCCGTTCCCTCGGGTCTCCCCGTATGTAATCTAGATACGCGACCACGTCTTTCTCATTCGCAAGTGCCATTACCCAGGTCTGAAACTGCACGTAACATTGTAGCCAACAATACTGGTGGGTGATGACGTTCCAACGTCGGAAAGAATGTCAGTACTCCTCCACCCTGGGTCACAAGCGCGGAGGCTTGAAGCAATCGTTTACCACAATCCACCAGCAAACAAAAGGGTCGAAACACTCCAAATACCTCCCTCCGCCTGGGTCCCCGCTGTCCTTGTAAACAGTCGCGGGAGTCGCCTTACCGTCCTCCCGCTCTAGGACGGGTCCACGAAGATTGTTCCTACCTGTTTACTACTCTTGTGGGAACAACCAAACATGGCGTAAACCTCCTCCAAAGTTTACCAGAGCGACTGTGTGGGAACAAACCGGGTCACAACCTCCTTCTCTATATGGTAATCAAAATGGCGGAGAGACAAAGGTGCGCATGCTAATGTAAACAGCGCTAGTGTGCCTGTAGCCAGGACACCTGATCAGATACCTGCGGGTCGTATGTCGCCGGGAGGGTGATATAGGGTTCCCTCTGTACTGTTGATAAAACCCGTGACACCAGTCTCCCCTTATTGGGACTGGCTTGTGTTAGCTATATATAGTTTAAGAATATTTCGTATCAAACACAACAGTTTTATTATTAGATATATTCCATTAAAACGTCAAACTTCCCTGTTTCTGATAAGGACCATGGAAATGTGTATAGTAAATAGTTTTACTGCAGGTATTAGTCTTTTCATCTTATCAAGAATCTGACTTAAGGCCGAACGCGAATAGGAAGAAATAACAAGAGTTATGATTTCTAGTTTCATTATTTTGTTTATCTCTTGAGGGAAACAGTTGAATTTTTCTACTGTAGTGGAGAACAGACCAGCCGTAAACAAACGGTGTTGACATACCGACGTTACCTGCAGCACAAAACTCTATTTGAACGAAGGGTACATTTGGGTGGTGATGTCAATCATTAACTATTGATGAAACTATCGTTAATCACGATACCGCGCCATATATCACAGCTAAGTGAAAAGTAATGTTCAACGGAGCCAATTTAGACTTAACAGAGGACGTTATTTGTGTGGCGTGTCCACAATAACACACCCAAATTTACATAGCCATGGTCACGGCGTTTGGATTAATCTAATTTGGTCGCCGTTAATGATGTTGACGTTGCAGGTTTCCGAAATTCATTCTCGCAAATCCGCGGCATTGTTGTCGGTAGCTGTGGTGTATCCGACAGGACTGCGTTAAGGTTAAGCTGCTCGTGCATGACCTACGCCACGTCGCCCAGAAAATCGATGGTTTCAAAGTCAAATTTCCAGCGCCTTGTCACGGACAACACTGTTCAAGGTCACTGGTGAAACGTCTGTGTTGCAAGAAGAAGAAGGATAATCCGTACTTAGGCTTCTATTTGTGTCACGGATGTATCGTGTGTGGTGTAGAAAGAAGTGCCTCTTCTCTTGTCATTGTCAGGATTAGTTCATGTACTGAACACGTGAGAACCTTACAGATGGGAGAGTTAGTCGCGGGTAATGGTCCTCGAACAGACTGCCCGGAGCTACAAACACGGTGGTTGGACAGACATTAGGGCATGTGTAAATACTGTTAGACCGAAAGGTTTGGCCTTTGGGAGATACTACAAGGTTTAGCATGTGAAATGTTTGATTCAGATCGCTGCCTTCTCACAGACTATACTTTAAATCTACCCTTGATAAAATCTTTTATACTACCGGTATTGACAAATGTCAGATCAGCGTTGTGATACAGCACACCTCTGTCTGTCACAACATGTTATCTAATGTTTTCTGGTAGAAATTTAACCTGATTTCTTGCCTTCATCCTCATCGATCAGGGAGCATAGACCAACACTCTAACAGGTGGTCGTAGCATGCCATATTGAAGCATCGGCCATGAGCGCTACTTGCGAATAAAGCGTGAACTGCATATATGTAATACATGTATTCAGTTTTTATAAAATTCTACACACAACGTGGAGGCCATTGAACTTACGCTGCTGTAAGTACCTTTTCTTGGGTGAATAGACCGGATATTGCAGATCTCTTCTTCGATTGATCCAATACATTTTCGTAGTTGACAAAAACTTTCAACATTGGCGAATATAATTATTTGTGACTGACATTTTGAATTGCAAGTGACAAACAAAATATGACCTCTGAATCTGACGAACTAGCTTCATTCTGTTACAGCTCTTTCATTGTTTGATTCAAACTTAATGAAAATTATGTTTCTGAATGGCATATTCTGGCCCTCCCATTAAGATTTAAAAATGCACCTTTGAAGGTTGATAACAGATCAGCAGCCGTCCCTCTGAGTCTAAATCCCATCACGAAAAACCTATTTCTGAAAACTCGTTTGAAATTGCCTTCTCTTGTTCGGCGCCTTGACAACAGTCCCAAGGACACTTGTCCATACACGAGAGAGCGCAGATGTTATTACAGTGAACGGTAGTTTTGGTCCGGATCAATGGCCGGCTGGCTGCTGATGCTAATGTATTCCGCCAGGGGAGCTGTACGGACCGCCAGGACCTGATGAGTTTAACGCTGAAACATGGCTGGATCGATTTTTGTCCTGCCAATCAAAGCTATATCGACCGGGGGGGGGGGTAACGTATTGACCTGAGAAGGTAATTTTTTTTTTCTCCTGACTCCACTTAATATTCGTAAATAAAAATGGACATAAATAAAAGGGGACAAGAGTGAACCATTACATGGTGTAGGAAGGGGATATGCCATTCTCGTTTGTTATTATTTTGGATTCCAGTGACTTAGTATGATTATACTTGACCCACTCAAATAGCTTTAACATTAGTGGTACCCGTTGGAGTTAATGTATGATTCTGTGTGGTAGTGTGGGCAGAACGCCAAGATGTGATAGTAAACACGTTTAGAGTCAAGTGCCCTCGCAAAGGTTTCAACGCAAGGATTCATCAACATGAAACTAAGGGCTTTGGGAAATCCTTTCAAGAGGGGCCTCATCGCTTTCCTATGCAATGGAGTAGCCTATATATAATATGTCTCGAAAACACTCGTGTTGTAATGGCAGAAGATGGGTGTACTGGATCACATGTTATTGGGCCTGTCCGTCAACATGTGTGCTTTTTCAATGGGCTTGGTGGGTCATACATTTTCGTAGTTTATACACACTTTCAACATGGGTGGATGTCGTTATTTTTCACGGTTATCTTGTGATTGCACTGGGCTTGATGGGTTATACATTTACGTAGTTTTTACACAATTCCGGCATTGGCGAATGTAGTTATTTTTACGGTTAAATGTGACCTCTATCGGTGTTAGTTACCATATGTACCTGTGTGCTTTTTCACTGGGTTTGGTGTAGTATTGATAAGTTATGGGACTCAACATGGAGCCTGCAACATGACTACTCGATATGAACTGTATTGCAATGTGTAGCATAAAGAGAATGCGCTATATTTTATACCTCTTTCTCATACTTACACCGCACAAATGATGGCCATCACAAGCTGACTCCTGTGCACAGTGTCCAACATTTATTTCCGAACGATAAGCTACAGTGAAGGGAGCACAGTGTTATAACATTTACCAATATACAATATATCTTATTTCCATAATGATTTCTCGTCCTCAGAAAGAGCTACAGCGTATACATGGTATTCTACATTCTCCTTATTTACACCTAAAGCGCCTTAAACTCTGTGATAAGTTACATTGTGCAGGTACAGCAGATATATGGATGATATCAGTTACGTATTGTGTGAGGAAACAGTCTGTTTGTCATGGCTATATATGATAGAAGCATTCTACTATATGATATAATGTCCTATGTACTGTTTGACTATTCCAAGAAATCTTTAAGAATTGACCTGGGTAGATATCGACAAACCACATATTCTCTGTTAATGGTGACACCACGACTTTACTATCAAGAACAATTGACTTTACATACTTCCAACATAGTCAACACAAAGTATCCTGACTGATCTAACACTGACTGAAATGTCACAATGAACAAACGTTTGAATAGCCACAAAGACAGTAGTATCCGACTTAGTATCACCTAGAAGTATAGTGCCCTCTGTATGTGCGCTCAGCAAAGAAACCGGCGGCCGAGGGAGAACAATACACCAACAGAATTCCGTTTAAAGTTCCTTAATTTGTCACATTAGTTAGACAGCCGGGGCTACTCTATGTAATTCCAGTCTTTCCGAACTTCATCTTGCATGCCCGTTAAAGTACTTAGATCTACTGACTTCACGTGGGGTACTCACTATAAACTGGCTAGACTAGACTAGACTATTTTTCAACTCACGGTGTCGCCTTGAAAATTTCAAGGAGGACCACTTAAGTACTACGTGCCGCAACACATATACATCGTAGTAGGTGAGCTAGTTTCTTAAGATTGCACTGTTCGGCCTGTTTTGATTATATGATGGTCTGCTAGTCTATTTGTTACAATATATACACATTTCCTCAGACACTTTGAACCACCCCATGAATATCACACTCTCAAACAAACCACGCCTAAACTAAACATTGAAAAATAACACCGTCACTCACTCGATATCCATGGAATGCACACAAAACATGCGAGATCGCCTGCCGATATTACTAGAACACGTGATATCACCACTATCATTCAACAAGACTACCTCGGCGCTAAGATGGCGGCGCGACGGGTCTCGCGAGAGACGGCGAGATTTTTTATGCCGTGATAAAGATCTTATTATGACGTCGATCGAAAGATATTAAGATGCTCGGTTTTTACAGTTTTAAACTGATGTTGATATTTTTGGTCATCCTTTGTTAATCACTTCTCTCATAAGTACCACATGTGATTTCACATGTACACAGTTGTCAGCGAGGTTTACATTGTTTTTTGCACGTCGGGTGCCAACAAACTCTGTGCACGATGTCTCATTTTCATAGAACCCGGTCATCATGATGGCAATCTGTCAGAGATCGAGATTTGAAACTTTCCTCTTAGACCACATGTCCTGTCTCCTTTTGAAAGAAGATTGTCAATCGCTACACGGCCAATCTGAGGGAAATAAACCAGCATGGGGGAATAATTGGTATGAACATTGGTCCAAGGACTACCCCTAGATCTGGCAGGCAAACTTGTTATGTAGAATCCCTACTTTGGTACTTTACTTTTGAAATGTTTGTTTCGGCAGAGAAGGTCGACGTAGGCTAGCATGTTCTAAACCAAGCGTTTTGTGCTGATGGTTGCGCCGAACTTGGTTTCTCTTCGCCTGGAAATTTGACCCATATACCGATTATTCCCCCAGTACAGCTCGAACACAGACCCACATAACAGCAAAATGTACTCATCAAATTGCCTTATCGCCTTTTTACACCTAAACTCCCTCCCATTGCCATGACATGTACAATACCCCTGTCACATTTATACAGATCTACCGACAACAACGACAAACGACAAAGATTATGTGTGAATTGTAGAAAACACACAAATACAGAGATGGCTGGCTACACGTACAGTTAGCAGCGGGGACGAAGCAGGAAATCTTTGCAATCGCATCCCTTGCCCTTGCTTCGCTAGAGCAATGAGCGTGGAAAGGAATACCTGATGTTCCTTTCTATCTCACTTCCTAGATCGATCCAAGTTGCCAAACAAACACACGCGGCTGCAGATATTTCAGATTGCCTAGTTCGTCCCCGGAACCGAAGTTCTTTTCGCGAGTAGAGTTATTTATACAAATATTTTTTTTTGTAATTTGTCCACAAAGGTACATATATATCTTGCGATGATCGCAAATCGGATACTTAGCGACAGCTGCAAGTTCCCGGATGGTTCCTAGTTCTCTCATTTTGTTTTTGTCCCCTAAATACGGATGTTTTTACCCTCTTTACGTACACGTCCCGTCCGGTGGGACCTTACTTGTCCTCCGGCACCTCCTGTAAGGTGTGCCATTGACAGATCGGTCGCCGCGGGTTGGCCAACATGTCGGACCAGTGGCGCAGCTCGGCTCCGGTGGCGTTACAGCCCAGCACTGTGCGGCCGATTGGGTCGGATCCTCCGATAGCATCCCAGTCCAGTACGGTGATCACGAGTTCCACTTTCTGTGGGATAAAGTTGAAATATTAAATATTATGGCGGTGACATTCCAAAGACAACCGCACTTTGAATGTTCATGTGATCTACATCCCTTGACCCTCAGTTTACATTTTTACAAGTTTTATTTCCAAGCAACATGCTCTTGATATCATGTGGCTTCTTCAGTCCCCTCTAAGACATTGTTGCACATACTTCCTTCAAAGGTCAGACCTTGCTGAGTCTCAAGTGAAGTAAAACTATACAATGAAAATATCAAGGAGAAAAACAAAGAAGATGTGCGAATAGTTGTGCTTGTTGCTGACCTGGATCTGGTCGAACGGGATGTCAAACTTGAAGGACTCGTTGTAGTACGGGTTGAGTGTGCACTTCTTCACGGTGGTCTTCTTCTTCTTCAGACGCTTTCCGTTCATCATCAGGTAGATCTTGACGTATGGATCTGGGATGGAAGACGTCACTACGATCAGTACCATCCTAACACTTATTTGTGTTCCTGGGTTTGTTTTATTGGTGCCTACGTGATACTAGTGTCTATTGTTATGCCTCAGTATGGAAGCGAATGGACGCAGCAACGACCAATCAGATATAGAGCATAAATTTCAAGGCATTGGAACTTTTATCATGCAACGAATGTGGAATGATACAAGTGAAAAATACGGCAGCACCACCAACAACGAAAACTACAGAAACACGAAGACAAAGATAGATATACCGATCTTGACACATATATATCAGTATGACCCTAACTACTGTCCACACTACAGTGTCCAATGTCTAAACATTGTCTAATGTATGTACACATGAAGACAGAGTGAGGGTCGGGACCTACCGGAGGCTCCACCCAGATCCATCTTCTTCAGCTGTTTACACTCGAGGATCACGACCGTCAGTTGGCCTTTGGTCGGCACGTAGCGGAGGGAAAAGCAAATATCGCCCAGTTTTTCGTTCTGTTGAAAGGAAGCAACATCAATGTAAGGGCTGTTTCGTTTGAAGCAGACAAGAAAAATGTAGTAACATTTATGATCCTCATCTTAAAAATCAACCGTTTTAAGCTCACCATGGCACTCACATCAAGTCCTAACCAACTTTTTTTTGCACTTAAAGACCCCTCCCACAGCTATTCCCGCCAAGTTATCTGATTTTAAACATTTCTCCAACACTTACCTGGCCTTCTTTTTCCGCGGCTTCTAGGTCACGCCACTCCTCTATGACCCGGCCCAAGTCCACTGAGTTCATGGGTATCCTGATTTCACCTATGATATCATGGCCTCCGAACCGGTCAAAATCGTACACTGCCAGGCGCAGTGTCTTCGAGCCGATCTCGTTGAACTTGACGTCCTGTGAGGTAAGATGGCGACAATTGTAGTTTTTCTTAATTTAATACAATAAAAAGAACCATGTGGCGCTGCACTAAAGGTTTTAAATTTATTTTAACAGCGACACACAACGAAATACAATTAACATATGAACACAGTGAATTGACATAACAGTGCGACGAAATCCCACCACCCCAAGACCTTAAATAAAAGTAATGCTAACCAAGTTATGATCTAGGGTCACAGGATTACTAGTTTAGCTACATCAGAGTCTGGCTTGAATTTTAGATCAACAGCAGATTTACAGCCACTAATGGAAGTGATAAGATTGTGATGGTATCAGAGATAGGAAAGTATCAGCCTCGTATCCAGGGTCCTACTTCTCATTAACATGACTGAGTACGGGACTGAACCATTATTGAGACTTGACATTGGCTGACCTTGAAGACGAACGTCTCGTTGTACACAGGGTTGAGTGTCTTCCGGTGCACCTTGGTCTCATACTTCTTCTTCTTGTCGGGAAGCAGCATGACCTTGACGTAGGGGTCAGACGTCCCCGCCATGTCCATGGCAGGCAGATCTGCAGCTTGGATCACTCCGACTTTCAACTACAGGGAAACACACCGTGAACTAGCTCGGTAAGATTGTTTCACTTATTTTGGTTATGATTTCATGTATCATGTATGTAAGTTACTTTGGTTTTGTATCAATCAGTAATTTGCGTAACTTTCTTTTGTTACCTTTGTTGTAATTTGGACCGAGTTCATTTAAATTCAAATGGCTTTTTTATGGAGTTTCCCCAGGGCACATTGAAAATCGCCCACAGGCGATATGTATCCCCTGGTGAAATAAAACAAACAAACAAACAAACGAACAAACAGTAAACAGACACACAAAAACAGGGGTATGTGTCAAATACTCCTACATCCCATTAATACATAAACTAATTAACAAAAATAAGCAAAATCGTTTTGAAGAGGTCACAATAAGACTAAAAAGAGTTATTTTGTACTTAGATAAATGAATATAAACGAAAGTTTGTTGGGAGGACTGATGAACAATGGTATCCTTTTGTATTGTGGACAATGTCTTACCTGTCCGGCTTCGAAGTCATAATCAAGTGAAAACTGTAGCTTTCCTAAGTTGACCTTCTCTTGCACCGACTCATTGTCACCCCCCTCCCCCTCCAGACCCGCGTCGATTTCTTCCACATCCGGTTGAACTTTTTCCTTGTAGCTGTTGCCGAGCATCTTGACATCTTTGAGATCTATGACATTCTTGCCGCCCTTTTCGCCCTTCCCCTTCTTCTTCTTCTTAAACACGCACTTCTTACAGATGCAGGCGATACAGGCGAGCAAGATGAGCGCAATGACGGCCGCGATGGTGTAGATGGCCCACATTGGCACTGCAGGTGGGGAGGGGAAAGAAAAAAATAAAAGTTTTTTCTTTCTGACACTACTGGCGAAAAACTGAAGAAACAGCCATCTGTATAAAAACATTGAGCCCCTGAACAACAATAAGTCATATCTGTATAAGGATCTAACCAAGGTTTTGAAGGGAATCTACAAAATTCTAGAGTGTACTCACGAGGAATTTTCTTGAAGAGTTCCTCCATCTTGTGTTCGAAGCCCTTGGCTCCCGTGAGCGGCGGTGTTGGGGCTGCGGTTCCATTGATAAGAGCGGCGACGGTTGAGACTACAGCGGCGGCGTTAGGGGCGAGGCCCTGCCCGGGAGCCCCCGGCCCCGCCGGTGGGTAGGGCTGCGGTGGATAGTAGCCTTGCGGTGGATAGGGATACCCCTGGGGCGGGGGATATGGTGGGTAGGCTTGTGGTGGGTACTGCTGGTAGCCTTGCGGCCGTGGGGGAACCGGTCCGGCGGCGGGCGCCTGTCCTACGGGCGGGGCTGCCTGGGCCTGCTGCCCCTGCCTTCGGACGAGATGATGGAACGATGGCATGGTGAACCTCTAGTTGCCTAGACCTTCAAATCCCTGTGGCACACAAAGGAAACTGTCATAAGTCAACATGCTCATGTTGCACCCACGGCTTGTTCCGACCACTCACTATTGTATTTATATCTAGTCCTAGTGACGCACGGAGATGTCAGTAGAGTAAATGGCTCAGCAGTGCCACGAGCCTTCAAGAAGGTCGGATCCAGAGGCAAATTGGCAACGGCAGTTCGAATGCGTCTACGGTTAACTGAAGGAAAAACAAGTGTTGACGTTACAGACTTGGGGACCAGGTACAAGTAATGACCACTGTTGATAGTGAAAAGCACCATCAAATATTATGAACAATTCTGTTCGTGGCATGGCGGGGCGAACATTAGTTCACAAGGCAATCAGATCCAAATGTACATACTGAGGCTATCGGTTTTATCTTGAGCGTCACCTTACTATCCATAAGTCTTCCTCAATAGGGTAATTTAAAACATACATTTTACGCTCTTAAAGTAGTCAGATAGTGCAATATGTATGACCACATTTTCAAAGCGTTATTCACAGAGAGGCCTCAAAGAGCTGTTTTCAAAAGACGGTTGCCAGAAGCATAAACAGCCAGCAAATTAGATTTAGGCCTTCTGATTTACATTAATCCATTGGATTGAAAGGTCAGAAGTCTCAAAGTATTTCCTAAGGCGTCGTTTGAAACACATACAGTCGGTGTCTACAAGATGTAAGTACCAGTGCTGGCCAGGCCTCTTAAAGCAATCTGTCTGGACTTTGCTGACTTGACCTAGTTAGAAATGGATCTAAGGCCCTGATATATCGTCTGTCAATGACCTAACGGCAGATTCTTTTATTCCAACGCCTTCCTAACCCCCTTGGCGCCCCTGCAGGGGTTGTTGTAATGAAAAATAGACCTTTGGGGCGAATGAAATGAGGCATGGGTGTTCAAATTGGACATAAAAGACAATTTCGTTTGGTCCCATTTCTTCATATGTGAGCATTCCCACCAAATAAAGATTGTGCTATTCCGTGACGCCTGACGGGTGTCATTGACAGGATAAGAATAACAATCACGTTGCAGTTGAAAAAGGCACAGGAACATCATTTCTATAGCAACATCTTGGACATGCAATTCATGTTTAGTACGTGTTCATTCCTTCCCCATATGTCATCTTTCCAAAGGTAGCCATCACCTACCGGCTAGTCGATAGAGAATGGGTGATATTTAGAAATCGAAATAAGTACGCAAACAAACAAACAAACAAACAAACAAGCAAAAGCTATGTTTTTAAATGATAGCAGACTAGATTGGAGAGCCATGAAGCTCCCAAGCAGGAGGGTTTTGTACCGCGGACTAACTCGGACTAGCAGCAGCAATAACAGCCGAGTTCAGCACCACGGGCAGGACCGGCGGGGTGTTCAGTCCTGTCTACGTCAGCACATGGGCATGTCTACCGGTATAAACTCATAGGAGACACGGTCTACATCTCAAGTATGACGTTAGAAATGCTTTATATGTATCATAGATGTACCATATAAAATGAAAGTCAAACACAGCGCGCCCACCATTCACATTTCAGCGGCTTCATGACTTATTCAGCAGACTTGCTGCTCAGACAGACTGTAAACCCATAACGAGCCACCGTGTCGTACATACAAACGCCCGAGTGTGACGCATCGCCTGTGTTTATATGGCCGTCATGCTGAGAAGCAACGCGAGAAATCTCACATAAACACAGATATGCGACTACCGAAACCTAGCAATGCGATTATAAGAAAAAAAATCACCGTTAAATCCTCCACATCTGCACACCCAGTATGTCTGGTCCCTGCTGATAAGACACCCGGGCCGTGTGTTCGCACAGCTTTGACGCACGCCGCTGCCTGGCTACTGAGCTAACCTGATACTCCTCCTAACACTTATCGTCATCACTGGAATATTCCTCAAAGCGCTGCTTCAGAAACCGTTTACAAAAGCAAAAAGGACGCGGAATAAGTGCCTAAATGGAAGCCACTGAACCGGCCATAGTATGTTTCTACAGCACCCTTTGTAGCGTGCGTACTGATAAATAACAATGGAGCATTACTGAGTCCACACGCACGGAAATAGTTATTGTAAGCACATGTGAACAGATAGCAGATCACATTACAGTTCATCTTATATCATTCTAATACGACACATTCTTTTTTTCTGAGACTGAAAGAAAAATAGGCCATATGGAAGGTCCTACCTAGTACCGAGTATTCTTCATTAAAGTTGCTATACTTAGTGGGATATCAGTTTTTCTGACTGAGTATTCTCCTCGGCTCTTCTGTTGGCTAATCAGCATTCCCCACGCCTAGTGTTACACTAAGTGCGGTTTCGTTATGACTATAAGCAATCAGTGGGTAGTGGCAGATGACGTCAATGGCACACTCCTGTGTAATTCTGCACGGCGGGATGGCTCTTGAAAAGGAAGTTCAGCTGTGCCAGCCAGGCCAACCATTTGATCAATATCGGAGAACATTTTTCTGCTTGCCACATTTGAACCTTTCAAGTACCTCCCTCCGGAGGCACCTCTGTGCGTTTGAAAACGGAGATAAGAGAGCGACCCGAAGTAAAAAGGTTAGCAAATGCATCTTCATGTCCACCCACGAGTCTTACTTGATAAGCCGTGTATATGCCAGGTCTATACGGTATAACGACTAATAACTGCATTTTACATCATATTTACAGCTCCTTGGCTCTGACAGAATTTTGAAATGTTTGACATTCATTACATTCTTATTCAATCGTTTAGAGGGCAGTAAAAGTCTATAACCAAACTTTTTTGCAGTCTGGTAAAGTTGACGTTCCCCAGTTGCATGATGACGTAATGAGTTGCCATGGTAACAGCAAGAACCTTCGTTCTTTAGATATGAGAAGTTCACATTGGCAGTCTTGTAGACGACTGAGGCGTATCTAATGCCGATATTGTGTGTTACATGAACGAGCGCCATACCTTGCATACTAATAACTTCATTTTCCTGTGCAGTCTTTATGATTACTGGCGTGGGCTCCCTATCGTCGGGATAAGCCAATTGGATTTCGGGAAAATTCTGCAGAGAACTGATTACGCGCAGGCGCAGTCTACCTGGGAGTTGATTCTCTCATTACTGTTATTCAGGCGCAGAAGTGCGTCGTCGCACTGCGAACAGGAATGACAAACACTTCTATTACTGCGGAGTCGTGCGGGGAATGTACGGGGAACGAATTACCGGTAATCACCGTGTAAAAACACCGGCTACCAGTGTGTGTAGCACGCCGTGATTATAGGGAGTCCGTCGAGCCGGAAATTATTCTTATTTATAAGTCTAAATAAGGACGCCGCTGTAAAATCTATAGTGCGCCGTGTTCCCTGACATTTTCCGGATGCTAAGATGATATCATGTTAGAATCCCTTTTCTTGAGTCCATACAATCCAGATGCTTGATTGCCATTCCCCATGGAGCGGTGTATTCAATCATTGCGAACATGCGTTCAGCAGTCACCTCCCGATGAAAACAACCCAATCTAAGGCAGAACAGCTAAAATCATATTCCGGCAGCTTCTAATTCAATGTTCTGTACGGGTCCATGTATCTAAAAAGTGAATTAACTTCGTACCCTGAGGGATAATGATACGGCACGGTTTTAGGAAGCTACCAGGCACCAGTAGCGTGCGCCATGTTGGATTATATAAAACTTGAAACTGACATGTCTAAGTAACACGACTTTCCATTTTAACTAACAGCTTTCTTTCTGTCATTCTGACGGCTATGTATGTTAGAAAACTCCGGTATCTGTTATACTCCACATTAGTCGTCATGCATCTGTCCGTACCGTCCTATGTCCTTTCTAACTGTGCTATTCAGCCTCTCTGATGTAACTCCTTCTGTAAAACACGATGGATCGCCATAAAGAGTGACTGAATGCCTTTCAGAATGATGTTCATAAACAAACTCTAAATCAGATCAAATCATATAATGTATAATTAGGACTGCGGTTGTAGAATTCTGCACCGCACTGTTGCTAGGCACTGTCGGGGAGAATAGCAATGTACGCACGGCGACGTGCGTCATAGCTCACAGATGGGCATCTTCGTAAATGAGATCCGGCTTCTGTGCTGAAAAGAATTCCCGGTTAACGTTTAGCTTATGAAACACATAGGTTAAAAGCCGTGTATGAAAGGGCTGCACTGAACACTTAGCATAATGTTGAAAAGCCAGCTAAAATCAAGTGATACAAAACGTATTTTATGGTCTGTATGTTAAGCATTGTATAATCACCTGTGCGGTGTACATGTGTAATGCTCAAGGATTATCCAAAAGCAATCTATCAGCCTGCAGGGTGCCATCCTCCGTAGTTTCCGCAGGCTCCCTAATGTCCGTACTGGAGGATAGCACCCAGGCTAGCAATCCAGAGCTGGGGTCGGTAAAGGTGTGAGGACGATGCCGTTACGTTGACTCTGGTGCACCGGCAACATTGCGGCCGGACTGCGCTGAATTATTCATGCTCTCTCCACGTAAGATAAGCTCGTTTATCAGTCACTGTGGTTGCATATCACGACTGTACTGGATGTTAGGAACGGCGCCAATCAAATACAAAAATAGAGCTTTTCTCCACCATGTGTTTCGATGTGTAGAATACGACTTGCCTTTCTGAAATGATTTATAACTGTGATTACTGATTACATATTTATGAGTGCTATCGTCTAACTTACACGTCAGTCTGTGTAAGCCACGACTGACCTTTAAATCTTATAACTCCCGAGCACTTTTCTATAAATAAATACCCTATCCTGCGAATTGTGTGTACTTAGTTTAGTGGTAAAAACATTCACAGCAAAAAGGCGGAAATACAAACACATACGATTGCCTAAGAGCAAAGCGTGTATCACATAAAAGCCCTTGTAGACCAGAGTGGATGGATGGATAGATGAGGGTGATACTAGAAATGCAAAATTTCTCCCACTTGTATGTGCCTCACGCGCACCAGTGGATGGGTTTCTGAGGACAACGTTTCATGACATGCTGGGGAGAAGTGAC